TACATGCACAGGTCTGTCCTAGCTCTTAACTTTGTTCTTTTCTCTCTCTCTCTCTTTGAACCAATAGCACACTTTTATAAATGTGGCTTGATGTCTAATCTCACAAATATTATCCCTTGTCCAATCTTGGTTTTTTTCCTTTTTTTTTTTTTTGAGGAAGATTAGCCTTGAGCTAACTACTGCCAGTCCTCCTCTTTTTTGCTGAGGAAGCCTGGCCCTGAGCTAACATCCGAGCCCATCTTCCTCTACGTTATATGTGGGACACCTACCACAGCATGGCGTGCCAAGCGGTGCCATGTCTGCACCCGGGATCCGAACCGGCGAACCCCGGGCCGCCGAGACACAGAATGTGCAAACTTAACCACTGCGCCACTGGGCCGGCCCCTGTCTTGTTTTTTTATTAAAAATATTTCTTGATATTCTTGACCTCATATATGCATATGCATTTTGGGATAAATTTGTCAAATATTATTTTTAAAAACATCCTACAGTGTTACTGTAATGGAATTTATGGATTATGTGGAAAGAAATACCATCTTCATGAGTCTCTCCATCCACAATCATGGCATCGTTGTTTTATTTGTTGAGGTCTTATTTTTTGTCCATCAATAACATTTTATACTTTTTCCATAAAGATACCCTACAGCTTTGGTTAAATTTATTACTAGGTACCGTTCATTTACTATAAATGGTGTCTTTTCTTCCTCATACATTTTATAAATGGTAATTGCTAACCTATAGAAAAGCTATTGATATTTATACATTGAGCTTGGGTCCAGAAATATTACTAAAATTTCCTATTAGTTCAAACAGCTTTTCTGTAGTTTTCTTGGATTTTCTATGTAGGTAATCAAAGTATCTCAAAATAATGACGTTTGTCTCCTTTGCTTTTTCTAATTCTTATAAGTTTTTCTTCTTTTCCTTGATTTTTAGCATAGGCCAGCACCTCTGGAACAATATTGAGTAATGGTAATGATAAAGCCTTTTTATTTCTAAATTTAAAGGAAATTCTTTTAAAGTTTCATCATCAAATATGATGTTTGCTGTAGGTTTTTATTGGATTAAGGAAATTCCCTTCTACTCTGGTTTGCTAAAAACTTTTTGTTTTGGTTTGGTTTATCATGAATGCTGAATTTCAACAAAAACTTTCTTTGCATTCATTATGTTGATCAAATGGGTTTTCCCCTTTAATCTGTAAGTGAGGAACACAACATTGACGAATTTTTCTGAAGTGGAGCCATCCTCACATTTCTGGATAAATGTGGACTGTACATTTTAATACAATGCAAAACTTGATTTGCTGATTTTTTCGTTTCTAACTTCATCAATAAGATTATTGTGTAAATTTCTCTTCTCATATTTTGTACATCTTGTTTTAAGACAATGTTATACTAGTCTCATAAAATGAGTTGGGTATCATTTGCTGTCTTTCTAGTCTCTGAAAAAAACTTGATAAGATAAGGATTGCATGTTCCTTGAAGGCCAAGAAACCATCTAGACATTTGTCTAATAGTTAAATTCATTAATGATTATTGATGAATACAGAATTATTATTCATTAATTTTATTAATTTTTATTTTTCTCAGAAATGTTTTATTTAAGCTTTGTTTTTAAAGCCACAGGTCTGAAATTTTTCAAAGCATATGAAACTCTGCTCCTTCAGGATATTTGGGACTGAAAGTACTCCATGCAAGAGAGAGGGCTGGAGCCTGGTACCCTGTTTGGAACTAAAGTTTGACTGAGGTTTCTCAGCTCAAGAAAATAACCTATAACTATGGAACCAGCTATCCTCTAGGGAACATTATGTTCCCGTGATGCAGGATGCTCTGACGGATGACTGAAGGATGGACACACGCATGGGAAAGTTCTTTGCCACTGGGGAAAGTGTTTTGTGCCACCTACCCATCCCACCATCACTTCTTTCTGCTTTCACTGCTGCCTCTGCTAATGTCCACTCTTATTTTTCTATTTTGTTACCCCATTTTCTTTTATTTTTTCCTCTTTCACTCTCAAGCTTATGATCTTTCTAGTGCAAAGACTGACCTTCCAGAGTACAGGCCATCAGGAGCACACTACATTCCTCCTGAACAGTGAGCCAGCTCATCCCAGTATATTGGGTATAAATTCAGATATTGACTATTTTCCCAATCTATCACTTTTTTCTAGATTCTTAGACACTTCCTCCATATTGAAAAAAAAAAAAAAAAAACGGAGGAGGGTCTTTGGGGTTTTGTTTCTTTATTTCTCTCTTTTTTATCTTTCTTTGTCTCGAGGGAAAAGATGTAGAATGCTTGGAAATGAAAGGAACATGGAGAGGTGAGGATAACGGTATTAGGTTAGTTCAGTTAAAAATCTGAAATATCCAGAAGGCTTTTGGAGAGCCAAAATTTAAAAGCTTATTGTTTGGTTTTGTAATGTTGAAGGTTTGTACATTTTATTGATCAGCTTAGACAAAGTAATCTTATTTATTAAAGAAAGACTAATTTGTTACAAAGAAGTGGATACTATTTGGGGCCTGGCCCCGTGGCCTAGTGGTTAAGTTCAGCACGCTCCACTTTGGTGACCCAGGTTTGGATCCCAGGCGCGGACCTACACTACTTGTCAGCAGCCATGCTATGGCAGCAACTCATACACAAAACAGAGGAAGATTGGCAACAGAGTTAGCTCAGGGCAAATCTTCCTGAGCAAAAAAAAAAAAATAGAAGTGGATACTATTTGGTTTTCCAAATTTATTGTCCTTCATAAATCTATCCAGAGAGACTAGACAACTTCTTTGCCATTGAGTGAGTTACTTGGTGGCTCCAACTTATTTTAGAACTGGAATCACGGGAATGCCAGAAGGTGCTCTTGGGCATGTGTGCAGAAAACAATTTCTTGTAGCACATTGAAACTAAGTCCCAGATCAAAATTTCAAAGGGGATGTAAATTGGCCCTGATTTATCATCCTAATCTAGCCATGCTTGTGAGCTTCCCCAAACTCCTTTCCTTAGTTCTTTTCTTGCCTATCTACATCACACACATTTATACACTGGCACAGGGACACACATAGAGGCACAAAGTCCTACCCATTAACCTAGCCTCTGAATCATTTCTAGGGCTAGGAAACCTAGATGCCTGGGCAGGGCTGGGTCTGACCTAGAGACAGCTGAACTGGCTTTACTCAGCAGTCCTCACACCCACAAATCCCTGAGTCTACGGATAATCTGGAAGCTGCCATGATGGCCATCAGGTGAGTAGTCAAAGAAAAGCGTACTAGATGCAAAACGTAGGGAACAAAGAGGAAAGGATGAGGGGTAGCTGGTACTGTAGTTAGAAAGAGACCACCTAGAAAGGTCATTCACCGAGGCATCCAGGAACTCACGTTACACCCCACAAGGGACCAGCCAACTCCCAGGGTCTAGCCTTCAGTAGATTTCAGAGCAAAGAAGATTACCAGGGACAAAGAGGGGCATTTCATAGTGATAAAGGAATCAATTCATTAAAAGGACTCAATCATTCTAAACATTGAAGTAGTGGATTATAATTATATATATGAGCTTCAAAATGTATAAAGCAAAATCTATGGGGCTTCAAGGAGAAAGACAAATCCTCAATTTTCATCGGAAACTTCAACACATTGCTGGAAGGTTGTGAAATTGGAGTTTCTAGTGATCAGGAGCCCTAGACTCCATATGCAGTAGGAAACAGTGAGCCCAAAACACAAAGCAGAGTTGAGAAAATGAGCCTTAAAAACAGTGCTTGGGTCCTGGATGGAGTTACATCTGAATATCCTCTCCTGACCTTCCCAGTTAGGAAAACTAATAAATTTCTCTTTCATTCAAGTTAGTTTGAGTTGGATTTTGGTCAATGACAAATGGATGATTCATCAGTAGTGTAACATGCAAAGTTCATTATCTTCCGCTGTGCCTGTCCACCTCATCCTGCAGCACAATTCTTCTGTGTTCCTGCCCCCTCCACTTCATATTTCACACACACACACACACACAAACACTCAAAAAAACTTCATTCACGTAGCTCTCCAAACATCCCAGATGCTTTGTGCTTTCTTACTTCCAGGCCCTGTGCCATGGTCTGAATGTTTGTTCCCTCCCAAAATTCATATGTTGAATCCTAACCCCCAGTGTGATGGTGTTAGGAGGTGGGGGCTTTGGGAGGTGAATTAAGTCATGAGGGTAGAGACCTCATGAATGGGATGAGTCTCCTTATAAAAGCAGCCCAGAAAAGAGCCCACATGCCATCTGCCACGTGAGGTTTCAGCAAAAAGACCATGATCTTGGACTTCTCAGCCTCCAGAATGGTGACAAATAAATGCCTGTTGTTTATGAGCCATCCAGTCTGTAGTATTCCTGTTACAGCAGCCCAAACGGATGAAGGCACCACAACACAAGCTGCTGCCTGGAAACTTTGCTACACACTTGAACTTCTACTCCTCCTTCCGATTTCTGCTGAGGTATCACCTCATCCACATGCCTTTTATGCCCCCACTTAGTCCCTTCATGCATATCCACCTCCCCTTGCGCTGTGTGCACACCCTCACCACTGCATTCAAAGTTACTTTCTTACTTGTCTGTAAGCTCAGCCAGCAATGGAATTTTCTCTCACTTCTCTTGTATCTCCAGTCCATTACAGAATGCCTGATACAATGTAGGCACTAAGGGAATATTTATGGAATGAATGGTTGGATGGATGCATTATTATATCCTTTAGAGTGATCTATTTGAACTTACAACTCTTTTTGGACTTGTGAAATCAAGAAAATGGTGCCTATGGTTTTTCAACTTAGCTCATTTATCTTCTCAAAGGGCTTTTACCAAGGAAATAAAAGTTACGCTATTTTTTTTTAAAGATTTTATTTTTTTTCTTTTTCTCCCCAAAGCCCCCTGGTACATAGTCGTAAATTCTTCGTTGTGGGTCCTTCTGGTTGTGGCATGTGGGACGCTGCCTCAGCGTGGTTTGATGAGCAGTGCTGTGTCCGCGCCCAGGATTTGAACCAATGAAACACTGGGCAGCCTGCAGCGGAGCGTGCGAACTTAACCACTTGACCACAGGGCCAGCCCCAAAAGTTACACTATTTTGCGTGTTCAATGTGTATTAGTTCACTTCAACTTTATGATTGTCATCTCATCAAAACAATTATTCCAGTTTCTTGTTCATTCCGCTTTTTAATTGCATCAGGATTTTACATGTTAATTATGTAATTAACTGTGATTAAATCATCAAGCCTAAAATGAATGTCTCCCCACTCACATGAGACTTCTTAATTAATCTTGTACGAAGTCAACCAACCATTTGCATGTTGTAGTTGAAAAGTGCCGTTAAAAAGTGGCTAGAACTCTAGTTTCTCACCTGCCTTAGCAGCGATGCAGGAATAGCCATTCTAATAATGATGCATGAATTCCTTAGTGCCTCACAGAGTTGGCCTTCAGGATGAACATATCACCATTAGACCTGCACAGAGATATATATTAGTGTCACAGTATCTGCATTAGCCAGGTTTCTCCAGAGAAACAGACCCAATCGGACATATACAGATATATAGAAAGAGATTATTATGAAGGATTGACTCACGAGATTGTGGAAGCTGAGAAGTTCCAGGATCCGCCATGTGCAAGAGACCCAGTGGTGTAGTTTCAGTCCAAGCTTGAAGCCCTGAGGACCAGAGGAGCTGATGGCATAAGCACTAGTCCAAGTCCAAAGGTCCAAGAACAAGGAGTGCGGATGTCCCAGGGCAGGAGAAGATGGACAGCCCAGCTCAAGCAGAGAGAGTGCAAACTCGCCCTTCCTCTGCCTGTGGAGTGGATGATGCCGCCTACAATGCTGAGGGAGATCTTCTTCACTCAGTTTACCAATTCAAACGCTCAGCAGACCAATAGTTTATTGGATATATAAGAGAAATGGAAAAATTATCTTTCAATGCTTGACCAATCATTTTAAACATGTAGGGGGAAATAGCAATATGGACGGAGAAAACATAAGCAAATGAAACACGAAACAATTATTAACTGGAGGAAAATCCCAAACAAGAAGTTGTTTGAATAACTGGGCTAAACTGTAAATGATATTTGCATAGTCAGAGGAACGTAAACACTGATGGTTGATTTTGAAAAACTGGGATATGACTTTACTGAGGGGACAAGGGAGGAGGGGGCGTGGTGACACAAAAGAGCTAAATTTCTAACTATCAATAAGAGAAAGTCCATAAAGATTGTCAAATATTGGTAAATTAAGAAACGGCAATGTTAGCACATAGTTTACAATGGAAGTTAGAAATAGTTAACATTTATTGAGTGTTCATTACATGCTAGACTCTGTACTAAGAGCTTTACTCATTTGATCCTCACAAAAATCCTATGAAATTATTGAAATTATGAAATCCTGTAAAGTTATTCTCACCTTAGAGACAAGAAAACTGAAGCACGGCTGGAGAAAATGAACTCAGTACACAGCAGTAAGTCACAGAGCCAGGATATTAATCCAAACAGTCTTCCCCAGAAGCTGTGCTCTACACAATACTGTCTATTGTGCTGGAAAAACTCCTCCGAGAGTTTCAACAGTTGCCTCTGAGCAGCGACCTGGAGGTTGGGGAAGGTGGGAGGAAGTAAGGAAGGTTGAGGCAGGAAATTACTCTCGTTGAAGAACTTTTTTGAGGACTATGACATTTTTAACTTTATCCATGTTTGCACCAGTTATCAATCTATTGTCTCTCAGCTCCAAATTCACCCTTCTTCACCAAGCTTGGTGATCCTGCAGCTGGTCCCAATATGCATTTCTCCGTTGAAAGCTGCTGCAAATATTAAGCTTTGTCCATAGAGGGCAGTAGAGGGACAGAGTGGGAGGCATGTGGGGATGGGCTAGTCTTGGTGGTTCTGGTGTACATTCTTTCTTTCTATGGAGCAGCTGACAAGCTGACAGAGTACATGAGAGGGCTACTGGTGGTCACCCTCCTGAGAGATTCCCCAGCCCCTTAGTGGGCCAGTTCCTTAGGATCATCACTGATACGTCCACCATCCATCATATGATATGTCCAAAGCAAAGATCTCTGTCAAGCAGTGCGCCACTTCCCACAGACTGGCCTACACCCTCAACAAGTTTCTCCACCATGAGCAAGTGCACTTTTCTGGGGCAGCCACACCCTCTCCCGCTAGCTCTCAGGCTCGGCTTTGGGGTCTGCCTTCCAAGTTCTTGTTCCTTCCTTGTCTTCGCTCCCTCTTGTGGTTGGGGTAGCAGCTGCTTCCTGCATCTGGGATTCCCATATTCCTCAGAGTTCAGTTTCACTCTTTCATAACATTCTTTTATTAGTTAATAACTTCTTCATATTAAATTTTCCATGTTCCCAGAGAGGAAAAAAAGATGGCAGATCTCCACAAATCAACCAGCAGATTAAACGCAATTTCATTCAAACTCTCAGCAGGGTTGACGTGTGTGTTGGGGGGCAGCGGGAGATTTTTGCTTGGGGAACTATAGTTAATTGATCTTAAAATCAATATGGAAGAGTAAAGGGCAAACACTAGTCGGGATAATTCTGAAGAAGAAGAACATGGCGGAGAGACATGCCCTATTAGATAAGGTACTAATTACGCAGCTGTAATAATTTATACCATGTGGCCCAGGTGCAGAAAACTAGACCAACAGAAAAGAAGAGCGAATCAAGATCTGGACCTGGACACGTGAAAAGTTCATGTACAACAGAGGCAGCACAATAAATCTGCAATAAAAATAATAACAGCTAACATTTATTGAGTCTTAACTTGTGACAGGAACTAAGTCTTTTAGATTTAACTCATTTAATTCCCCCAACAATCCCATAACACAGCTACTACTATTATTATTATTCCCACTTTACAGATAAAGAAATCAAACCCAGAGAGACTGAGTAACTTTCTCAAGGTCACACCACGAATGAAAAGTGAGGCTGGAGTTCAAGCAACCTGATCCCTTAACCCATTGCTTTAGAAGGGGAAGAATTTATTATTCAATAAATGGAGGTAGGACAACTGATTATCCATATGAAAGTGTAACTCGTTCCCTACTTCACACCATGCACAAAAATCAATTGCAGGTGAATTAAAGATAAGGACGAAAAAATTTTTTCAACTTTCCGAAGAGTATATAATAGAATATTTGCATATCTTACGAGTAGAAAAATGGGGCCAGCCCAGTGGCTACCCGGGTAAGTTTGCACATTCCACTTCAGCGGCCCTGGGTTCGCAGGTTTGGATCCAGGGTGTGGACCTACGCACCACTTGTCAAGCCATGCTGTGGCAGGCATCCCACATATAAAGTAGAGGAAGATGGGCACAGATGTTAACTCAGGGCCGGTCTTCCTCAGCAAAAAGAGGAGGGTTGGCAGCAGATTTTAACTCAGGGCTAATCTTCCTCAAAAGAAAAACAAGGAGTAGAAAAGGATTACATGAACACAACACAGACAAGATAAAACAAGCCATGAAGAAAACAAATTATAAATTTGATTGCATTAAAATATAAAACTTCTGTATGAAAAAATAAGTCATTTTAAAAGTGAAAACAAGCCATACACTGGAAGAAAAGTGTATATCCACTGAAAATTTCTTATCTGTAAATAACTCATGCAAATAAACAAGAAAAAGACTCCAAAATCAATAGAAAAACAGACCAAGGACTTGAACAAGGCTATTCACAGAGAGGAAAATCAAATGACAAAAGTGTGAAAACACGCTTAACCTCTCTAGTAATGAAGAGAAAACTTATTTTAAAAAAATAAAGTAGAATTTCACATCAGATTGTCAAAAAAAAATCTAAATCAGACAGTTGCAAGTGTTGGTGAGTATAAGAGGAAATGGGAACCCTCATACACTGTTAGAAAGAGTATAATGGGTCAAACTACCTAGAAGGGTAATTTGCATTTAAGATGCCCAACAATTCTGCTCCTAGGTTGATGGATGTAACCCTCAATGACTGATTTTCACTGGTGTATAGTATTTCATTTGGGCAAACTTGCTATTATCCTACTGATAGACATGTGAGCTGTTTCCAATGTTTTACTGCTACAATATTGCAGTCAACACACTTGTCAAGGTTTCTTTTTACGCTTAGGTGAAAGTTCCTCTGGATTGCTGTGAGGACAAGCTGTCCATGGAAACAATTCCCACCATTTACTGAGGGCTTGCGTGCCAAGTGTTGTACCTGCACTCTTTCATTTAAAAGAGTAATCCCTGTGTTACTGTAGAATTTAGGTCTCTTCCTGCGACCAGAAATTCCGCGTTGGTATAATCTGCAATTATAATTTTAGCCACTGGAGGGCGACTCAAGTTAACATTATTTCACAGCCAAATTCTGGAACCACAGGTTAGAGCTCAAAAGAAAACCAGGCCCCACCGTGCAAACTTACCCTTTTAGGGATGCAAAAAAAATCAACCTGGTTAGTAGGTGGTGGAGACTTGTCTAGAACACAATTCTCAGTTTTAAAAGAATCATCTCAGGATGCTATTAGGTATAGGTATGTTCTAAGATATCTCCAGTTCTAACAAATTAATTCTAAACCAAGGATTTTAAAAAATATCATAGATTTTAAATCTACACCATGCTTTAGACTTTGCTGTTTTACAAACCGATCTCAATTTCAAAGGGCATAGCTATCATTATGCTTTTTCTCCACTTTAGTAAAATATGAAAAGTGTTGGTTACTATAAAGTCCAAAAAAAAACAAATGGCCACATTGCCCTGGAGGATGCATGCTTCGAGTGTGGAGGCTGTAGATATTCATCATGCCTGACTTGAAACTCCACCAAGTTGAACCAAACTGAAATCATTGTTCCAACCAGAGGGTCTCATTGGCAACAGACGCCTTAGGTCTTGGAGCTGTCACTGTTTCCACGGATACAGTGGGGAACACGGGCAGTTTCATGAAGCAGCCAGTTCTCCGGCATCCCCAGTTCAAAGCCCGGTGCCTCCCCTACATCCAGAATCACGTGAACGTCCATTTGGAAGGAGCGGGTGAAGAACTGGGTCAGCTACCAGGAGTGGTTGGACAACATCAGGCGAATGCCTTCTTCCAAAATTTCTGCCTTCCCACCCACCCACCTTAACATTTTACTATTAAAAATCTTATTTGCTTGTATTTTTACTGAGATGTAATCTACAGATAACATTGTATCCGTCTTAGTTGTACAACATAATGATTTGATATATGTACAGATGGTCAAATGATGACCACACTGAGTTTAGTCAACATCCTGGATCAGAAAGATCCTCAAGGCGTGGGAGTTCCCTGGTTAAAAGGCCAGCTGCACGGGGTAATTAACACTTAAGGTATTGTCAGTATGTGATTTGAGGACCTGCCAGAAGGGGAGCAGTGAAGCCTTGGGTGGGGGGATGGCCAGGACACAAACAAGGAGAACAGCTCAAAAGAGTGCAAGTGAGAGACGGCCAAACACAGAGTTGCCTAAATGCACAGATTTGCCAGAAAGAAAACTACTTCCAGGACAAGCAAATCTGCACCTTATTCAGCAATCAGTATGGAAAAAAGTCCACCGGCAAAGAATTTGGCACTGCAGAGAATTTTTTATCTGACCTTTGGGACAATTTGAGCAAGGCCTCTAGCTGTTGCCCGCCTCAGTTTCCGTCCAGTATCACACTCTCTCCCTCACAATGGTAAAGATTTTGCCTTCAACCTTGGCAAGGAAAGGGAAGAAGTCTGTACTTTTTATTCTTACTATTAAAACTGTGACCATCGTGGCTGGATTATCAGAATCTGTGGGTACTTTTTACTAGACAGTCTGCTTTTTTGGGTTTTTTTGGGAGGGAGAGGGGTTTATTTGGGGGTTTGGTGTGTGTGTGTTTTTTTTTTTCGGCTTTTGGCTTTTGTAGCCTGGTGTCTTCTCTTTCCTTCATGTGTACCTTTGTGTCTTATCTCTCACCATGAAGACTATAAAATCATGAAGACTCTTCTCAGAAGCCTTCTTATCACACATCTCTGTTGGCCTAGAAACTGTACTTTAGAAAAAATACATATTTGTGTGTCTCATTTTAAGAACAAAGTATTGCTGAGGCTAATCATTACTCATTTATTCATTCAAGCAGTTACTGAACACCAATCATGTCCCAGGCACTGAGGACACAAAAATAAATTTGCATAATTCAAGCCCTATAGCTGTTTCCATTCCACTCGGGGAGATAAACACTGGATTGCAATACAGTGCGCTGGGTGCAATAATAAGATGTCCACAGATAAAAATCGCCGGTATTCTATATGAAATATCCATATATTACCTCTCCCAGCTTCGCTCAAGCCACTAGCGTGGTGAGAAGCCTTTTCTGTGGCTATCAAAGGTCCCATCTGAGACTCCCCCTAATGTCAGCAGTGAGCTGGGTGGTCCAGTGACCCTGGGCAGCTCTGAGGGCAGCAGAGCAGTGATGGAGAACTGGATGCTAAGCCAGACTCAGGGTATCAGATGGTACACTCAAGCCGCTTGGATCCTTCTGTAAAGAGAACATGCTAGAACCCCTTGCCTCCTGTCCTGGTTTCCAAGTAGAAGGCATCGCCCAGGAGGCAGCCTTGTCTGGTTTTGACGAAGTGGCTGGCAGCAAATTCCTCAGTGTGGGTTTGATTACAGTGTCCTGGAGAAGCTGAGCCCCCCCTCCGCCCCGGCTCTGCCTCTGGGTGTTTACCGTCTGCAAATTGCTGGAAACTAGATGTTCCGGCACGGAGGTGAGTGATCACTTTAGGTATGAGAGCCACCCTCGGGGCTGCACAGTGCTCACGATGTCCCTGGCTTCCTCGCCTGGAATATTGATGGGCAGAGGAGATAAAACAGATAATAAAAAAGCATTAGTGAAGGAACAGAAGATTAGGATGAGAGGGGGGAGGGGAGGAGAGGTGGGAGAGGAACAGAAAGGAGGGAAGAAAAGAAAGACGAAAATGGTGGGGCTCTAAGGTGCAGACACAAAATTAAAAAGTGGTCCTATCCCCTTAACAGAAGTCTCAGGGCAACATTGTTAACATCTTAACCTCACATCAGAAAGACTGCAAACAGAAAGAGCGGTGTCTTTGACATTTTAAATTCCCTTCCTTTCTTTTGGTACAAAGAGGGACTGCCCAAGTGTCCCAAGTGGGGAAACGCTGGGTCAGGCTTTCATCTTTGTGTCCTTGGTATTTAGTACAATGTTTCACATATATTAGGTGTGAGGGAGGAAAGGAAGGAAGGGGTAGATAAGGCTTGGCTTTTCTTTGTAGCTTCTGTGTTCTTACAACAACTCCCTGCTGTAATATGTATATACATATTGACATTACTATTAGATTACATATTTATACATACACACACACCACATATCCATATCTATATAGTAATTCTGGACTTACGTCACTAGAGGGAGGCAGAGGAACGTGAGAAAACTGTAGGTACTGCCACCCGTGGAACAGGACTGCCTGAGACTTGATCCGAGAAAGGATGCACTCCATTGACCAGCAGTGATTAGAAATCAGAAGAAGTCGATTCTTCTGTTTTGCCCTCAATTCCAAATGTGTATCCTACCTTTAATCAGTGTAAGCTGCACATTTCTTAAGAACTGATACGAAAAAAGCTGCTTATCGTCCAGCAATGCAGAATAGAGTCCAAGTCCTAAAGGGGCTGTCAGGTCCTCTGGCGACGTCTCAGCAGCCGGTGTGACTCAGCAGGAAAACGTGTAGGAATCAGAGCTTTGGGACCGCTGCTCCCCAGGCTTCACCGAGCTATTTGTCCTCCTAGAACCCCAGTTTTTCTTCATCAGTAAAACAGTGATGGTAGTGGTTTCCACCTTGTTGGGTTGCTGTATAAACCGATAAATGAAAAACTTCTTCATAAAACAGCAAACACCTACATGGATGTAAATCCAGTCATTATTATTAACCATGTGCTCAAGTCATGAGGTTGTCAACTTAGTCATGTTCTTAAAGCTCTCCAGTGAAAGAGTTCACAGACGGTAAGTTCTGGAAGGGAAGGAACTATGGCCACTGCTCTGAGCATCTAACATGGTACCTGGTAAACAGGTCATTTTTTTTTAAGTTTCTTAAATGAATGAGTAAAAACACTTACAGGTAGGAAACCATATAATTTAACATCTAAAACAAGGCTTTTTCTTTTTTTCTGAAAGGGAGTACTATTAGTAATTACTTCAGGAAAAGGGGCAAAAGCAAGACTGTCCCACTTACTATGCAGTGAGCACTGCCCTGAACAAATTATAGTATTAACTCATTTAATCTTCACAACAATCCAGTTGAAGTTGGTAGTATTATTAACCACATTCAACAAATATTTATTGAGCACCCACTACGTGTCCCAAGTCTTCTAGATTCTTAGGATACATCAAAAAACAACAACCACAAAAGCAGAGATTTCTGTCCTTTTTGTTTTTGAGGAAGATTAGCCCTGAGCTAACATCTGCTGCCAATCCTCCTCTTTTTGCTGAGGAAGACTGGCCCTGAGCTAACATCCGTGCCCATCTTCCTCTACTTTATATGTGGGATGCCTTCCACAGCATGGCTTGCCAAGTGGTGCCATGTCCGAACCCGGGATCCGAACCGGTGAATCCCAGGCCGCCGAAATAGAACGTGTGCACTTAATCGCTGCGCCATGGGGCTGGCCCCAAGATTTCTGTCCTTTAAGGGCAGGGAATAAGAAAGACAGACAGTAAACAATAAACACAATAAGTGAAAAAATTACATAGCATACTAAAAGGTAATCGTGTTGTGGATGACAGAAAGAGAGATTGGGAGTGCTGAATGAGAAAATTCAGGTACACAAATATGTAATTTGCCCATCCTCTCCCGCTGGTTGTAACAGAGCCCCAATTCCAGCTGGGGCGATCTGACTCCAGTTTCCTTTAACCTCAGTGCTGTTTCCTCTTTCAGGTCTGATATGCACCTAACCTTGCTCCGTATTCCAAATTCATCTCCTCCGGAAGTGGCAGAGAGGAGCACACAAAGTCTGGTGATCCTTTCTTGAACTCAACTCGGCATCCTCCCTCTAGGCCAGATGTTTGCCACCACTGATGACTTGATTTGGGTTACAGCTGAGCCCACCCTGGACGCTGGGCCCCTGGAATTGCTTGCCTACCAAGCAGGAATGAAGGCTCCGCCTAGAGAACTCTGTGTTGCTGAGTTTGGAGAAATGGCCAGACAAGCCCACCAGACAGGAGGAAACAAACGACTGCAAGGGGAAGGGCCGGACTTTCCAAAAGTCGAAATTGCTTGAACTAACACTGGCAACTAAGCAAACTTGAGCCACTGAAAGCACGCGATGGTGAACTTCCCCTGCTCTCCCCACACCCCGGCCTCCCCACCCTGCTCTCTGTCTCCTGTGGTGCTTCTGGCCCTTCCGCATCTTGTGACTCTGGCAGAACTCCAGGGTGGTTATTCAAACTGTCTCAAGACACCGAGGACCAAAAGAAAAACAAAGGGTAAGTGCAGCTACAGGGCAGAGCAGACTGCCAAGAGCGCTGTCAATAGCCCAGGCTGGGCACAGAGCACAAAGGGATCTTTAAATGGGAAGATCAGCGCCCAGAAAGAGACCGCGCCTGTTCTCAGCCTCTAAGTCTGCACTGTGTAGTGAGACGCCCCAGCCACTAGCCTTCACATCATCTAGTAAGTAAATCACAGAAAATATTTTTTGAGGACCTACTGTGTGCGAGGCACTGCACTCACAATTATTTACTGATGTGGACACTATAGCTTTCACAGAAATATCCGTCTTTCTCTAGGCTTCCTTTGCATATCTCTTAGGTTGACAATCTCTAGAAAGTCCGCAATGAAATTCTAGCTGGTTCCTTGCTAGACTGTGAGCATTCTTAAAGCAGAGAGGGTGCCCCCTTTATCTTTCTCTCCCCAGTTTCTAGTACAGACCAAGGCAGTTGGGAATGCTGGGTAAATGTCTGTTGAGCAAATCAAACTTCTGAATGAAGGTTCTTCAAGAAGGTCTCCACAACCAGCCAAAGGCTGGCTCACATGCCCACTTCAAACGTGTGAGAAAACATATTATACAATATTCTCACCGTTGGAAAGCTGGGTATGTAAAGCTTTTGACCTCCACAAAAGAGTATCAACGTATTTCTGCAAACCTTTCAAAATCTAAAAGTATCTACAAAGGCACAAACTGTATGACAAACCCTGCATTTAAAAATAGGCACCATTTTTTTGAAGAACTACTAAGTTAGAGGACTTAGATTCCTTGATTTCAAAACTTACTACAAAGCTACAGTAATCAAACAATGTACTAGCCTAAGGATAGACATGGAGGTCAATGGAATGGCAGAGAGAATTCAGAAATAAGCTTTTACACTAGTGGTCATTGACATTCCACAAAGGTGTCAAAGCAATTCAGTGGAGAAAGAACAATGTTTTCAACAAAGGGTGTTGGGAACTACTGGATAGTCACATGCAAAAGAAAGAATCTGGACCCCTACCTCACACTATACACAAAAATGAATTCAAAATGGATCATAGACCTAAATGAAAGAAATAAAACTATAAGACCTAGAAAAAAATACGGGAGTAAATCTTCATGACCTGGAGGTAGGCGATGATTTCTTAGATATAACACCAAAAAGACAGACGATAAAAGAAAAAACTGATAAATTGGACTTCATCAAAATTAAAAATGTTTGTGCTTCAAATATCATTGAGAAAGTGAAAAGACAACCAACAAACCAAAATTTGCAAATCATATATCCAATAAAAGCCCAGTATCAAGAATATATAAATAACTCTTATGACTCAACAAGAAAAAGTAAATAATCCAATTTAAAAATGGACAAAGGGTTTGAATAGACAATTATCTAAAGAATATACACAAATAGTCAATAAGCACATGAAAAGACGCTCAATCATTAGGGAAATGCAAATAAAACCACCATGAGATGCTGCTTCACACCCACTGGGATAGCTGAAATTAAAGAGATGGACAATCACAAGTGTTGACAAGGATGGTGAGAAATTAGAACCACCATACGTTGCTGATAAGAATTTAAGATGGGGCAATGACTTTGGAAAACAGTTTAGCAGTTAAATGTTAAACATACAGTTAGCATATGACTCAATTCCTCTCATGGGTATCTATCCAAGAGAAATGAAGACGTATGTCCACACAAAGATCCGTACACGAAGCTTTATTGCAGCATTATTCATAATAGACAAAAAGTGGGAACAATCCAAACGTCCATCAATTGATGAATGGATACACAAATGTGTTATCCATACAATGGAATACCTTTCAGCAATAAAAAGGCATGAAGTGCTGATACATGCGACAACATGGATGAAACTCAAGACCACCAAGCTAAGTGAAAGAAGCGAGTCACAAAAGACCACTTATGGTATGATTCCAGGCTCCAGCCTAACGTCCAGCCTAAGCAAATCTATAGAGACAGATAGTAGATAGCGGTTGCCTAGGGCTAGGAATTGGGGCAAAGGGAAGTCACTGCAAATGGATACAGAAATTCTTTTGAGGGTGATGGAAATGTCCTAAAATTAGATTATGGTGGTAGTTGCACAACTCTGTAAATATACAAGAAACATTGAATGTATACACTAAAGGGGTAGATTTTGTGGTACGTGAATTATAGCTCAATAAATTCTGTTTAAAAAATATCAACTTTTGAGGAGAAAAAGACCTGCTTTTAGCTAAGGTGTTAAAGTCTAGCAAATAAGTGGAATTAATCTGAGGGCTACAGTACTTATAGATGGTTTTTTAAATGTAGTATTCATTTAAGTGTGATCATACTAGCAGTTATGTTCCCAGAGCAGAAATGATACCACTATCAATAGCTATTTGACATTGGGCAGTTTTAGTATTTGGTAAGTTTTTGTTCCTTGAGCTGGAACGTCTTACTACTTGGGGAGTCCATTAAGTCTTCATGCATCTTACCAATAGAGAAAATTAAAAAAATATTACAGTGTCATGTTTAGCTATGAAAAGTGGGAGGAGGGGAAGCAAAGGATAACTTATGAAGAATATACTGAGCATAGTTCATTGACAGACAGGGTCTCAGTGACACTGATAATAATGACAGCAGCACTGTCCTGGCACACAGAAGACCTTCAGGAAATATTCATGAAAAGAAGGCATGAAAAATGCATTTCTGGAGAAAAAAATTCCCAAGTGTTCAACCAATCTGACATACTCCTCCTTTGTTTCGAGAAAACAGATTATAAAATTTCCTGTGTTCTTGGAAGCGACGTGGATTTTCTTTCTCCTCTTGGGCTTTCAGTTGCAACTTCCTTTTTTCATCAGTTGTTGAGCTAAATTCATTTAATTCAACAGATTGTCCAGTGCGTATTCCTGTTGCAACGATTTGGCGCATATATTTACAACGAGTGTCTGAGAAAGCAGGTTCCCTGGTCCATAACACCGCCAGTCCCCAAGCTGTGCTCACAGTCAGGAACGAGGCTGCTCAGTGAGGCTGACAGCCAGAAAGCTGATGACTTGGTAGGTCTCTCCTGCATTTTTAGATATTTGCATTATAATTCTTCCCACCTGTACTCCAAATGAGAAAATTAGAGAAATGACGGATCTAGTTCAAGGCCCCAAGCCATCAATGGTATGTTGTCTGACCTTTGCGTCAGCAGGCGGACTGTGGAGACACCACACATCTCATCTGGAGACAAGGCCTCCCAACCTCAGGTGTGAGGCAGATGGGGGAAGGCCTAAAGAGTGTCAAAGTGAAACTCACTCAGGTCTGTGCTAAACCCCACTTACCACCAAAGATAAGGAATAGACTGAAGGACAGCTTCACAGGTAAACTAATCAGGTGGTAAGAGTCCCATATAAATGGCA